GGGGAGACTGGCGGGGGGACAGAGGCAAAAACCCATCCCCCCCACACCCACACCCTGCTCCCAGTGTGTTATTGTCAGACACACCCGTGCTGGTGGGGTCTGTGTCTCATGAGTTTTGGGGTCGCCCAGGGCCCTGGTCTGATTTCTGGGCAGGATTCACATCTCAGCCACACCGGAGTCACTGCTGCTTTGGGCAGGCAGGGAGTGTGGATGGGCCAATGGGATCAGCCTCTGCCTGCCTTTCCCTGGGGGCTGCTGGGGGAGTCCAGGGCAGCTCATACTGTAGGTGATCCCACCAGAGGGCTCCTGCTGCTCCTAAGGGAGAGGAGTTTACACGGCAGTGTGGGGACATCCCCCAAAGTGACCCCTTTAGTTCTGCTTTTTTTCTAGCATTTGGCTCAGAGATACTGTTACTGGGAGGGTCTGAAGAGTCTGGGGGGGAACCGGGGTGTGACATGGACTCCAGCCCCTTTTGTAACCTCCCCCATCACCCATCTTGCCCCGACAGGCTGAGGAATCACGTCCACATTTCTCTCCAGATGGGCCCATCTTCCAGGACACAGGGAAGGGAAATGTCTGTGATGGAGCCAGCTCAGGTAGGGGATTTTCAGGGAGCTCCTGGGCAGGGGCAGGGAGGAGACAGGGTGTGATAAACCTGCTGATTTTCTGAGTGGGCCCATTGGTGACGGAGGAGGGGAGATGGGACATTCCCCCATTTCTCAAACAGGATACAACCCCCCTGCACAGAGCTGGGAACATTTTCAAGGCTCCCAATGCTGGAGTGAGACCCCGTTAGCCTGAGGCTGCTGTGAAATATGAAGGGAAGTGTTGGGATTCCTGTCCCTGTCCCTGGCTTAGAACTCAGCTTCCCGTATCAGCCTATGTCTGGCAGGCATGTGGGAAACAAGAAGACCCTACCCTGCTCCGTGTGCTGGGGAGGACAAGGAGTTCTCACCTTCTTCCCACCCCTGAAGCCTCCTGGCTGCTCTGAGCAGGGTGGGGGTGGGATTCTGCTCCTCTGGCGCTCCCAGAGTTTCTATTTCTTTATCCTTTCTCCCTCGTGACTAGTGGGATTGTGGCTGGAGCAGCAGGTAATGAGTGGGGGCTTTTGGTGTTCCAGATGCCGGTGACGTTCGAGGAGGTGGCTGTGTATTTCACCCAGGTGCAGGGGGCTCTGCTGGACCCCGCTCAGAGAGCCCTCTACAGGGACGTCATGCAGGAGAATTACGAGACGGTGACCTCGCTGGGTAAGGGATTCCCATCCCCTGAGATACTAGAAGCCGTGGGATCTGCGTGTCTGAATCTGGTCAGGTTATTCCCTGATCAGTTAGATCAGAGGCGAGTGGGTTCCATAATGCACAGCTGCGGTGTGAGAGAGACTTGCATCTCCGTACCCTCTCCAGTGGGACATGGGTGTCAAAATCCAATGGACAAGCTAAACCATCCCCACCCCTCCAGCTTTCAAAGGGGCATAAATCCATCATTGTCCTGTCTGTGTTGTTTCTCGGCTGCACATACAATCCCTGCTCACCTCCCTCCTTGGGAATAGCTCCAGCCATGGGGAGGGCTCTGGGCTCTGCAGGTTTAGAAAGAGGCAGAGGTTTAAGTGCAGAGCTGTGTGTGAGTCAGCAAGGCCCCCAGAGCGCACAGATCCTGGGAATGCCTAGTGAGGGTGTAGTAATAATTCAACTCACCTCCCCAGATAACTTCCTCTGCGCGAGGGGGCTCAGTGACCATTTCCCCATCTTCTTGGATTCCACGTTCCTCCAGCAGAGCACAGGGACTGGTTCCACTCACGGAATGTCCTTTCTAACAAATACTCCACCCTGATCTGATCTGATTTCACCCTCTGCGCAGGATTTCCCATTCCCAAACCTGAGCTGATTGCCCGGTTAGAACGAGGGGAGGAGCCATGGGTGCCTGATCTCCTGGCCTGCAAAGAAAGAAGTTTTCCGAGATGGACCCGTACAGGTGAGGACTGACACAGAAACCATCTAGGGAATGAAGGAAAAAGCTGAGAATCCCAAAATATGGTAAAAAGAACAAGAGTATTCGTGGCACCTTA